TTCCTGGGTCCAATTAGGAAGCCAGGGGATAGGAAACGTGGCTGAGGCAAGCAGGCCTTCAAAGCCTTCCTCCTGCACACATCAAAGCCGTCTGCCGCGGATCGCTGTGCTGAAAGGGCTCTGCCAGCTCGGAGCGGCGGCAGGCGCCTGGCTCGCTCTGCTCGGGGTCGTTCCCTGTTGGTTTGATTGTCAAGCCTCCCAGGCTCGTACTCTCTCTATCTCCAGCCTCCAGAGCAGAAAGCTCCTCTCTCTGATTTACTGGGACAGAGTAAAGGAGCTACAGCTTGGCAAGATGGTGTTTAATGGGGCTGCAGCAGCAAACCAAGCTAACTATGAACATGCTAAAAGGCAAAAAACCTGCAGGGAAGAAGGTTGCCTGGAGTCACGGGAAGGGATGCTTCGGGATGAGAAGAGCTGTGCTGCACAAGGTGTCATCCCCCCCAAGGAAACCTGGAAGGCACCTCACTGGGAAGGGGTTGTACCAAACCAGACAAAACAGCCAGAGGAAAACCCTTGTCAGAGAGGAAGGTTTGGCAGTAGGGTCAGGATTTTGTCCCTGGATGACACGCTCAAGGCAAATGCCTTCTTCTAATGGGAATGGAGTGGCACACTTGCCAGGAGCTGGCAGTCCCTCTCTTCACCTAATAGAATATGTTCATTGTTACCACTACCAAAGAACATTGTCCAAGCCTTCTCCCTCCCTGCTTTGATGAACTGCATGGTGACAACCATCAGCTCCCTGCCGAAGCTGGCTCCTGCACGGAAACATTTGTAAATTCACTCGGTGTATAAAGCTCTGTTCCTGCTCCCCCCGCCCCTCCTTTGCCTTAGAGGTTAGAGTTAATATGACTCAACTAATCCGGCTGCCAAGGTGAATTAGTGAAAACACCTCTACAACCCTGTGCAAGATACCACAACCTGACATGTTTCTAACATACCGTGATACATCTTCCCTCTCCCTGATCTGTTCTATGACACCTCAATTTTATATAAATGCTTTTTTGTTAGAAATGGTTAATGTACTCTTAGAGGGGACAGGGCTGCAAGCAAAAGGGTCTGTCTTGTAAGTGAGAATAGCTGAGTTCTTCTAGCAAAATGTTGATGCCTGGGGTTGAAACAGGCCACCAGTGCAGGGACAAGAACAGTGCTACCACTATTTCAGCAAGAGACTGTCACAGAAACTTCCCCTGAAGTGTTATGCTCATATCTTTGTCCTGGAGCAGGGGAATGAGGAGCTGAATAGCCCTATTGATGTCTTTGGCATGCCCTTTAAAGCAAAAGTCCTCCCTTTCACTCATTCCCAGAGAGCTCCACTGGGCAAAACAGCAGCTCATCATCTCTTGGGAAGGGTTGTGTGTAGCTGTGAAAGCTCTCCTGCCGGACATGGCGCACAGCTTAGGTTTTAAGTGCATGTACATATCGGGGAGAAGCTGAAAAACATCTTTGCTTTCTTCCCAAGGCCCAAAGTATGTACCCTTTTAGGATACTTTGGAGCTCCATTGATGTGGTTCTCTGACAGACAGACTTAACAGCACCCTTAATGAGGGTGCCACTCCATTAGAGCTGGTAAGTCACCCTCAACCCTCTTTTCATTACTGTGACAGTCTTGTGACAAGGGCAAATTGCAGGAGAAGCAAGTCCCACTTGGAATGAACCCTGTGGATAAACAAGGCAGAATTGCAGAGCAAATGATTTGCAAAGCAGAGGCAAATTACGTTTTAACCTTTTCTTTGTGAGTCTTTCCCTGATGTCTGATTAACTTTCCAGTCAACTGGCTGACCTACCAACTGGGAGTGCTGCTGTAAAAGGAGGGGAGTGTTGGTTGTCAGCTCAAATTGGGGGTGGGGTTTTCAGAGAGCATTATTAGCAGGTAGCTGTATGTGCTAAGATGATCTGGGAATAAAAATTGAGTTCCCAACCAAAAATGAATCACGCTGTGGCAAAACCCCAAGCCATGTATTGGCTGTACAGAGAGCAGCACAGCACAGAAGTTGCGATGCCATCCTTCATCTGTGTTCAGCCATGGTAACAGCTTGTCTGAAACCCTGTGTTCGGTCGGGGGTGTTGCACTTCCAGAAATATGTGAACTCGTCAGAGAGGTCTAAAAGGAAAGAGCAAGAATGATCAAGGGTCTAAAAAAAACCTCGCCTATAGAGAAAGGTTGAAAGACCTGGCCGGCCATGTTCAGCCAATAAAAAATAAAAAAAAAAGAAAAGATGACAACTGAGGGAGGAACATAAGCGATTTAAAAGTTGATAAAAGGCTATTGCAGAGAAGGAGGGAATGATTTGTTCTTTTTGTCTATAGTGGCTAAGACAAAAATAATTGCTTTAAATTGCAGCAAGGGAGACTCAGGTCAAACTTCAGGGAGCTGCTGCAGTGGTAAGGAGAGCAGAGCATGGGAACAGGTCGTCTGGAGCGGCTGCAGGGTCTCTGCCACTGGAGGGGTGGAGGATGACTGTCTTCCTGACACAACCCATGTGTCCTGCCCTGAGGTTGGGGAAGGGGCTAGATGGTGGCTTCCAGTCCCTTCCAGTACTATGACTCACCTAACTCTAGTCCCACAGGAGTTAAGATTTCACTGAATTTCACTGAATTTTTAGAGTTGGAAGGGACCATAGAGATCATCTAGTCCAACTCTCCTGCTGGATCAGGATTACCTAGAGCATGTTAGAGCGTGTTACTCAGGACTGCATCCAGGCGGGTCTTGAAAATCTCCAGAGAAGGGGACGCCAGAACCTCCCTGGGCAGCCCAGGGCTCCGTCACCCTCACCGTGAAGAAATTTTTTCTCATATTTGAGTGGAACCTTTCCTCACATATCAATGAGTTATAGTGAAAAAAAGCACCTGTGAAAATCCCACCCTGCTTCCTTCTCCACTGCCTCTCCAGAGCATCAGCCCCAGTACACAGATTGCGAGCCGTGTCTCAGAGCACCGAGTGGGCAGCAGGAGCCAACTTTGCCTCCCTACCTTGTAAAATACATGGCTGGCATGCAGTGAGGCCCTTCAGCAGACTGTTAGAAACCTGCATCACAGCACTTGTAAGTTTTAGACATAGCAGTGAGATTTCCACTCACCTGAACATCTGGTAGGAGCTGGAAAAGGGACTGCTGGTTAGACCCGCTGAAAGAGGGGAAACTTTGGCTTTGCATGAGTTTAATAGGTACAGTGCTGTTTTCATGCTGAGTCTCCATGACAGGGGGTGGTTTTACCCAAGAATGGTTCTGAAAATTCCTGGGGGGGGAAAAAAATATTAAAAAAGCAAAAAGAATTGTGTGAGGGACAGAGTTCTGAGCAGATTTTGAAGTTGCTGAAGTCCCTGTCTCTGATGCAGAAGGGAAAGGCACATAGCTGGCATCCCCAGCCTGACCTGGCCAGCACGCTGCGGCAAACCTGTGTCTGTGTGGTGGGATTCATTGCAGGTGGCTCCACGGTACCTTTAGCTCCTGAGATGGGGCTTACCCCCTGCTTTCACGCAGTGCCGCAGAGCTGAGGACCACAGCCCTGTCCTCACTGTTTGAACTCCGTCAGACAACTTAGGTGAAGTGGGCAGGGTTTCAGAAGTGCTCAGCACCTATCAAGCAGAAAATGTCTTCTGGGCAGAGAATTGCTTCGGGAAATCTGACCGCTCTGTGAGGAACGTGAATGGGAGCCCTTGTGAGCTGACCTTTTTTTGGTTGGTTGGTTGGGGTTTTTTTTGGTTGTGGTTTTTTTTTTTTTGGAAACGTGGCTTTTGCCCTTTGAGGGTTGGGGAATGTTTTCTCTATACATACACAGGCACGGAGCTGGGGCTCAAGGCTTTACGTGCCGCAGATCGGTGCTTGCAGCCCTCTCAGAGGAGGGAAGCATCTCCCTTCACACTGCTGCCAACGTGGTTCAGATTCTTTCCAGGAGCAGCTCTACTTTGCTTTCCCAAGGAATAGGGTGGATATACTAATCCTAATATTTCATAGCTTCCCTGGCACTTTTTCATCCAATGATTCTAATGTGTTTTCCATGGGTTAACCTCACCGCCCTTCTCTGACCAGGAGGTGATGGGAGAGGGGGCTTATTATCTGCGGTTCGCAGAGGGAGAGCAAGGGAGTGAGTCACCCAAGGTCACACAGTGAATTAAAAGCAAGGCCACGGACCTCCCCTGATTCCTGCCCCCGGCCGTAACCCCAGCGCTCCACTCGCTGCTTTCAGAACTGTCTTAGCGAGGCAGCACGCCTTAAATATGTAATTTCCTATGTACAGTAGATCAGGGCTTCGTGATGATTATTGGTCTCTGTGGATCAAATTACACTTTGTTTCTCTCGGTTTGCCTGTGTTTAACGGTGGCTCGATCTGATCGATGGCACTTCGGGGTGGTGGTTGCTCTGAGAGACAGAAAAGACGTTTTTTTCACAGTTTCGCAGTGGAGAAAAGGGTGCTGACAGCCCGCCACCACAGCTGAGGAGCGAGCTAGCCATGAACCAGCCCATCAGCCACAGGCCCACTAACCTCCCTTTGGCAATCAGCCATCACACCAATGAACTTACTCTGGTCTCACCTGGTGGAGACTTTGCTGCTTCTTCATCTCAGCCTGTGAGATCACAGAATCACAGAATTATCTAGGCTGAAAGAGACCCTCGGGATCATCAAGTCCAACCATCTACCCTACTCTAAAGTTCTCCCCTACACCATATCCCCCAACACCACATCTAAATGGTTCTTAAACATAGCCAGGGATGGTGACTCAACCACCTCCCTGGGCAGCCTATTCCAATGCCTGACAAGATGAAACACTTTGATACTGCTTGTGTGCTTCCTTCCAGATTTTCAGAACCCAGGTTTTCCATAACCAAATAAAATGCTAGCATCTTGCTGATATGGCTTCTGAAATAACTTTAAAAACCGTCATGACTGTTGTTTATTTTAAGAATCCCTGTGGTGATTGTTCCTCCATAGCAATTAAGCAGAAAGCTTCCCAAATCTGAATGCCTAACGGAGCCACCACCTGTGTTTTTCTGTCCTACCAGGCAGAGAGTTTGAAGGCGAGGAGGAGTATCTGGAGATCCTAGGGATCACGCGAGAGCAATCGGGCAAATACGAATGCAAAGCTGCCAACGAGGTTGCTTCAGCAGACGTCAAGCAAGTCCGGGTCACTGTGAACTGTGAGTATATCACAACTGGAGTGGGTCAACGGGGAGAGCTTTGCCCGCCGGCAGGGGTGACTTAAGGATAAATAGAGAAGCTTTTCTGGGCATATATTATGAGATCTGAAGGCGGGGGGAGTGCTGAGAAAACTATCTGCAATCAGACCCTTATCGCAGGGTGTAGTTTGTGCTTGAAGCGTGGTAATATGTAAGAAAAGAAAGAAAATGAGAGAGAGAAAAAGAGAGGAGCTGTGAGTTGCCCCTGTCTCTCCCCTCAGAAACGCTGGCAATGCCTTGTTTTCACTCATTGTTATTCAGGAGAAGAGTAGCATGAAGAGAAGCTTTAGCAAGGCAGCAAGGAAAGATAAGGGAGGGTTCAGACGGCTGAGAGCAAACACCCACCTGCCTGTACCCAGCCATCTCAGCAGTGCCTACGTGGGTATCACAGCCCAGGGGCTGGGGGGATGTGTGGTAGAGACATGTGTCAATGAGAGGGTGCAAAAACTTGACTTTTATGCTGGTTTTAGGTCATTAGCATAAAGCACTCTCTAAGAGACCCTCCATGCACCAATGCAATGCAGAAAGGGGCTTGACCAAAGGATACAGCAATCTACCAAAAACCACCAAGAGGCACAGTTAGAGCTGTGGCTTACATCCACACCTATGCACAAGTGGGGCATGGATCCCATCACCCATGTGTGCTTAGGCAGATGTCCACTTCACTCTGCTGGCGTGCTCCTCTCACAGTGACACAAGATATCTCAGACTGTGGTTACTCTTATAATCTTATGTGTGTATATGTCCACCTTCATATTTGTATGGCTCCTATTTGGCACTGGAATGATTTAAAGTGAATATCCCCGTCTACCTTCTCTGTTTCCTTGTCTGGCAGCTAAAACCTCTGCAACAGGGATGGATGAATGGGAGGTATATCCTCTCCTGACCTTCTTCAGTTTACACACCAGAGTATTAACGTAAACTGAAATTGAAGAGGGTCACAGACATGTTTCAGGGTGCATATGCATGGCCTTGATTCATGGGTAGCACTCTCGGGGAGTGGGTTAGGGCAGAGAGCTGAAGGCAACAAGTGCTTCAGCCCACCCCAGTCTAATTTGCCACCACAGGTGATTTTAGCACATTTTACTAACATTCTTGCTCTTTGTCTCTTTGTTTCCCTTTGGGCCATCACATCAGATCAACTTGTCTGTCTTGCTTACACGTCAAGGTTATAGGCTCCCTGCAGCATCTTCAGAATACACAGAGTTTTTTATAATTCCCTTAGAAATTGGGTGGCAGTGGGTTAATACCAGCTGCTTCATGGGCCAAACTTGGCATTAATGTGAAACTGTAGTAGCAGATTTTCTGCACTAAAACTGGTAAGGGTTTTTTCCTGTCAAAAACAGCTGAGTTTATAAACCCGAGACATGCCATGAGAACCAATTAATATTTTCAAATATTTCTGTCAAACGTAATTTCAACGATGGTTGAAACAGATTGTTTGTATAAAGTCAGAATGTTTGATTTTGACTTAGTTTCAACTCATAATAACTATGCTACAGTAAGAACTTAAATATTTTTACTGTTGGAATATATGAAAATACAATGTGATAGAGTACTGTAATATTATTATGTGGCCCAATTTGTAATGTAAGCAACTTCTAAATTCCTTCAGGACATCTTTCAAAACAAAGGGAAAAAAACTCTAAGAGGTCATGAGGGCCATGCACAGGAAAAAAAATCAGTCCTGTTTGGGGAATGAAAGCTAGACATTTGCATACATCTTTCCTTATCTTGCTTTGTTAACTACACCACAAAGCAGCAGAAAGTGGAAAAACTACAGTAAGTTTGAAAAATTGGACCTGCCCAACCTCAGGAACTTCCTGGCTGTCACTTCTCATCTGCTGACACCCCGGATGGAGCAGGCAGGTTGTCAGCCCGGACTGCAGGAGGGAGCATCCTGGCTTTGCTTTGGTCTCACACTACCACCTTCAGGCTTCCTGAGAAACGGCCCTTGCACATCACAGGCAGGGAAACTGAGGCCTGGGCAAGAGCAGAGAGAAAACAACTAAAGGGAACCCACTTCTGGCTTCCCCGGCAGCAAACAGCTAAACACAGAGCGGCTGCTTTCTGGGTACAACAGGCTGGTTTGTTCAGGGCCACCGCCTGTGACTTCTCTTAGGAGAGCACTGCAGCAAGCAGACTGCCCTTCGCCGAGCAAAGCTCTGCCCTCGGAGCCAGCAGTGCCTTTACAAAAGCGTTGGCAGCTGAGGTATGGCTTTTCCACGTCTGGGCTCTTTCCTTTGAAAAGCCAAGGAGGGAGGCTAAGGCAGGGACTGCTCAGGGCAAGGGGCTGGGCTCCCTGGCAGCAGCCCAGGGAGCACACGGCTGCCAGGGTCATTTTCTAGGCCCATAGAAAGGTGCTCATTCATTTTCTGACTCACCGCTTCTGCTGGATGCAGTGAAATGGAAAAGGTTTGTCTCACTGCAGGCAGCAAGAAGATCTACTGCTCGAACCAAAAAATCGAAGAAGGATGCTTAAAAAAATCACCTTCGCTATCCTTTTATTACCCCTCCTCCTTTCCGAATTAAAATATTTACGTGATCCCACAGCCTTTGGATGTAGGATCCTATTTATGTACACTTATTAATATTTATGATGTTAGAGGGCGCACTGCAATATCCCTAAAGCCCTGCATAAAATCCCGATTAAGGTCAGGAAAGGGATCACATTGAGATGGCTAATGTGTTCACAAACAAACTTCTTTCCATACATTTTCCACAAAGAATTATTTTTTTCTTTGACTAACACAATCCATTTTGATTCTTTTTTTTTTTTTTGACTAACCCAAACCCTTTTGATTCTTTTTTTTTTTTTTGACTAACCCAAACCCTTTTGATTCTTTTTTTTTTTTTTGACTAACCCAAACCCTTTTGATTCTTTTTTTTTTTTTTGACTAACCCAAACCCTTTTGATTCTTTTTTTTTTTTTTGACTAACCCAAACCCTTTTGATTCTTTTTTTTTTTTTTGACTAACCCAAACCCTTTTGATTCTTTTTTTTTTTTTTGACTAACCCAAACCCTTTTGATTCTTTTTTTTTTTTTTGACTAACCCAAACCCTTTTGATTCTTTTTTTTTTTTTTGACTAACCCAAACCCTTTTGATTCTTTTTTTTTTTTTTGCCTTTCCGCGCTGGGATGGATTCAGATGGCAGAGTTGTACTCTGTACAACTCGAGCCTCAGCAAAGTAGCCATCTGAGTTGCAGCCCTGTAATCTCAGGATGTGCAAGTATTAGTGATGAGAGACAAGGCACTTATTCCCTGATCCCTCTCAGCAGCCGGGTGGAAATAATCCTACCTTTTAACGTGTAAAGCTTGTCCCTTAACATTTTGAACATGGGGCTGGGATTGAAACTGTCGGTGCCTACCCTGCCCAGCACCCAGCCAGCACTGAGACCTAGGTCCAGCGGAGCACACCTATATGTTTCCCAAGGTTTTTTTGGCCCATGGCACAGCTCTCAGGCTTCAAAGTAAGCAGAGGTGGGAGCACCATGCTGGGCTGAGGGCAAGCTTCTTACAGAGTTGTCATGAGCAAGCACTCTTGGAGTTGTGACAAAGCATGGTGTCCAGGAAGGTTTGGGCAGAATTTGTAACCTTAGACATCTAAGGGAAGTGCCTCAACAAGTGGTCTGGCTCTAAAAGTTGCACCCACAGCTCCTCAAAAGCTCTTCCCTTTTAAGGTGTGAATGTATTTGTCTCCTACATGTTGCCTCAGTCCTTCCCTTTCTTATTAGTTTTGACACAGAGGTTGTATGAAAAATAATTTTCATGCTAGTGTTAAATTCCTACTTTATTCTTTTTACTTTTGCTGTCTTCCTTTCCCCTTGATGAAGTATTTCTCTCATCTTCTTGTCTCTGATGAACCCATGTGAACTAGAGATCCACAGGTAAATATTCATAAATTACAGAAGTCCGTCATTAACCTTAACTCCTCCTGTGTATGCCTATGCATTTATGACAGAACGTTACTCGGTGTTGCTGGAGAGAAGCACGCAGAAGGAGTGATGGTAACGCAGTGTGTTAGGGAGAGTTCAAAGAGCAGGTATTCTCCAGGGGAGAGCGTGTGCCACGGCAAACAGCAGCTGTGAGCCCCCACCACCCAAGTGGGTTGCGTGGGGTGACATAGTGTGAGGTGACAAAAATAGTGTGACCAGCAGAAGTAGGGAGGTGATTGTGCCCCTGTACTCAGCACTGGTGAGGCCACACCTCGAGTATTGTGTCCAGTTTTGGGCACCTCAATACAAGAGAGATATCGAGGTGCTGGAGCGAGTGCAGAGGAGGGCAACGAAGCTGGTGAGGGGGCTGGAAAACAAATCGTATGAGGAGCGGCTGAGGGAGTTGGGACTGTTTAGTATGAGGAAGAGGAGGCTGAGGGGAGACCTCATCACTCTCTATAACTTCGTGAAAGGACACTGTAGAGAGGTTGGTGCTGGTCTCTTCTCACAGGTAATTAGTGACAGAACGAGAGGGAATGGCTTTAAGCTCCGACAGGGTAGGTTTAGATTGAACATTAGGAAAGAATTTTTCACCGAAAGAGTGATAGGGCATTGGAACAGGCTGCCCAGGGAGGTGGTGGAGTCACCATCCCTGGCTGTGTTTAAGGGCCGTTTAGATGCAGTGCTAAGGGACATGGTGTAGGGGATGACTTTGTAGAGTAGGGTAGATGGTTGGACTCGATGATCCCAAGGGTCTTTTCCAACCTAGACAATTCTGTGATTCTATGATAGTTCCACTGTTTCGTTCCACCTGGAAGTGTGTGAAGTGACTGTGTGTTTTCTTCCTGCAGACCCTCCCACCATCACAGAGTCCAAGAGCAATGAAGCGGCCACAGGACGACAAGCCTTACTCCGGTGCGAGGCATCAGCAGTGCCCACGCCTGATTTTGAGTGGTACAGAGATGATACCAGGTAAGACCTTTAGCTCGCCTCTTCCCTTCTGTCCTTTTCGGTTCACTCAATAGAGGATCCTTAGAGAACCACCTATTGTACTTCCCAACTCTTCTCCTCAAACTGGATGACTGGTTTACTGCCTGCTGGGCAGTGATTTCCTTCCTGATACACAACTACCGTTGCAGTACACACCTCTTCTCCCATCTTCCCAGGATAAACAGCGCCAACGGTCTGGAGATAAAAAGCACGGGGAGCCAGTCTCTGCTGATGGTGGCCAACGTCACTGAGGAACACTATGGGAACTACACCTGCGTGGCTGCCAACAAGCTGGGAGTCACAAATGCCAGCCTATACCTTTACAGTAAGTATGGGAGAGGGTGAAGGGAGGTCCGTATCGCTGTTACAAAGACCAGGCTGTGTAGGAAGCACACAGTGACCAAAACTTGGGAAAGCATCCATCTGCCACCCCCACATCCCCAGGCCTCCAGCCATGAACTGGGTTTCAGTGCTCTGCTTCAAATACCTACATTTCTGACCATGGAACACAAACACAGCCAAATTACAAGGTGTACAGTCCAGCCCTTTGATTGACTTTCTTTGCTGAAGTCAGATTTTGTTAAAATAATAAAAACATGTTTGTTTTAAAGCTGGAAACAAAAAACCCTTTAGAGTGACAGCCTCTTTAATAAGGAGACAGAAGGCCAGGGCTCAGAGGGTCTGTGACAGCTGAGAAATGACAAGTAATTCAGAGAGATGGAGAGAACTAGCCACTGAGCCTGAGGAGAACAAGAGAGAGTCAAGAAAAAGAGAAATGAGTTTGAAAATGGAAGGGAAAGAAGTGGGAAAAGACAGAATGATTTAAAGGGGCATACCATAGGGAACATGGAGGAAAAGGTAATCAGCAGATGAAATATGGAATAAAATTCCTTGGATCTCATTCTGCTACCTTTCAGTTGCTGAGTTTGTCGTAATAAGTGTAAACAGACAGAAGTTGGGACTAGACCAAACTCCAGAGCAGAGTTACCTGCTGGTTCTGCATTTTGCAGCTGATTAAAACTTGACTCTTAACAGAGTCCCTGCCCCTCACCTACCACCCATGCAGGTTTACAAACTGTGGTGTATTCAAAATTCAGTTCCCAATTCCAGGTCCACAACTTGGGCTCAAGGTGGACCACACATTATTATTGCCACTAGAAATAGACTGCAGGAGAATGACCCACTCACATGAATGGACACATAGATGCAAAAGTGACTTAGGGCTGTATTGCTCTGACAGTCCCAAACTGAATTACAACACTCAGGCCATGACCTGCATGTCCTTTTAAAGAGAAAAAAGATAAGCTGTGTGAAGCAGTCTGAGTACAGCACGCAGTTTAGTCTAGTTTCTGGTCTGTGTGGTCAGATTAATCAAACCATCAGAAAAGCAATGTTTTGGTTTAGTTATTTTTTAGCAGATGTAGTGCAAAAGCATAAATCCTTCGGCATTTTTTTCTTACCACCTCTGATTTTTTTTATGGCAGTTTGAATTTTTGCAAAATTTGGTTGTATTCTGTGGAAATTTTCTTTTTTTTCTAAAGAGCAGATATTATCATAAAAGAACATATATTTGATTTTGTGTAGCATTGCAGCACAGAAGGCAAATTTCTACTTTGAAAGTCTTTTCACCCTGGTCTTGTGACTGTCATGAGATTCAACTAAAATCCTCAGGCAGCAATCTGGAACACAATTTCCAAATACTCCAGATTTGTTCTTGCTGATATTAATATAATGCTAAGTTTAGAATCCATTATTTGTGGCTGAATTCTAAATTTGGCCCTCTCTGTTGGTTCCTGTTACACAGATGAGCTGAAATGCATCTCTGAAACAAAATATAAGATGAAATTCAATAATGTATGTATGCACACGTGATTTTAGCTGGGGGGTTGGTTTTGCTAGAAAAGCGTTTTGCATGACTTCAGAGCTTCACCTCAAAGGATCTCAAAGGATTTGCTAGCAATGAATATTTTAACATCACAAGTTATTTAGAAATGGGTGAGTGTTATTAGCACCATTTTGCAGTTGGAAACTAAGGTACAGAGTGAAGAAGTGGTTTACCCATGGTCATAAAATGCGCGGCAGAACCTGTAAGAGACCCAGGGAGATCTTGCAAAGTTGCTGTTAACTATTCCAGGAGGAAATGTGGCAATTATTAAAGATGAGTTGCAACAGTGAGGGTCCTATTTTAGCCTCCTTTCAACGTGCAAGAGTGAAGCTTTCCTTCTCTCAAGTTGTTGGATTTTGTTTATCATTTTTAGCTTTAGAAATTCAAGGCCTATTTATGCTGGAAAACACTAGAGAACTTCACAAGAGCCAGGAGAATGGAAGTGCAGGAGCTGAGAGAAATTGGATGATTTTCAGTGAACTGTTTCTAACTTTTATTTTTGTTGCTTAGTTAATCCTTATTTCTTCAGTGTGCAATTGCTTCCTATGGTTTCAGGAAATCTCTGTTCTCCTTCTAGTTAGTGTGGAAGAGAGAAAGAGAGAGTAAAAAAAATAAATTCAGGCAGACTACAGTTGGTATTTCTAAGGTTAAGAAACCAGAGGGGAAATGAGTGAAGGGAATCCAGCCTCATAAAGATAATGAAAGCAGCTGAAAAATTCTCCAAGCCCAGATGAAAAAAAAAATGCTGTAGTGATCACACAGTAGCTGAAATAACAGGTAATGCACACTCCCAGCCACACACCCAGGCAGAAAAATAAAGCAGTGCCAAGTTTTTGCAAGGTACAGCAGATGCTCAAATACTTGGGAGTGTTTTTGATCCCTAGAATCAGAGATTTTATTTCTTTTTTAAATAGAGAACAAGCTCACTGTAGGGCAACATCCCACTAGGGAGGCAGATACAACGTTGATTCCTCAATATCCCATTGCAGCACAAAAAAGAATGGCAGCCAGGAGTGAAGAAACAACCAGAGAGTTAATAATGAGGTACCAGCAGCTTTGCCTGAGGTGGAGGGCAGAAGGGGAGCTAGCAAAATGATGTGGAAGAACAGTTTAGCAATAGAAAAAAATGGGTGACTACAATTCCAGGAAATCTCAGCCAGCATTGAAAAACTCTGGGAGAGACCGAATGCCTTAGATGTCAATGCCATAGACAGAAGATGCATTAAAATACAAAAGCAACTCCCCTGAGATGTATGAATAGATAGCTTGTGATCTTCCTTAAAGGATGTAGCAGCAGGATTGCCTGCTGTAGGTGGCGAGATTTATACCCTTCACTCCTGGAGACTGAGTTTACAACAACATAAAAATGGCCCTACCAAAGGTCTGTCTAAACCAGGAACCTGTCTCCAGGAGCAATGTGGAATATGTTCGCAGAGAGAGTGCTCAGGTACAGTTTGATGATACAACTGATCATCTAATAGCTTGCTGCCATCCCTTCCTCCCCCATCCTTTTTCTCACCCCTTTTTCTGCCACCTGCTTTTGTTGTTTCCCCTGTTCTGGTACTTAATGAACCACATGCTGAGCCAGTTCAACCTGCTAAGCCAGAGCCCAAAGTGCCCCCAAATGTTTTATTTTGTTGTACTAAGCTGAATTAGTTCAGGGAAGGGCTCAACAAGAACCAGAACCCATATGAGAGGAGAAACCATATCACACATCTGTAGATAGGAGGAGTTGGGAGGCAGGACATTGGAGCCAGGAGATTGGTTCGGCTCTGCAGAGCCTATGAAGAGGGTCTGTAACCCCCAAACACAAAATATGGTGAGATTTAGGAAAAGGGCAGTAACCTTCATGAGAGTGCTAATCGCCACGAAAATTACCTGACAGAGAGGCCAAGCCAGAGCTGCCTTCACAAAGCAACAAAGGTGCAAAGTAGTGCTACAACTGAAGGGAAAGGGTTTTTCTTCCCATAGGGGACTATTAAGACTGGGCTCCTAATAAAGGAGGGAGGGAACTTGTTTTATTTTCATTCCACTCAGCTAACAGTGCTACGAAAAGTGTTATGAGTAAAAGCCACAATTTGTATCTTTACCCATGCTACACAGGTATATATATATATATGTGTGCATACACATCTGCCGTACAAGCATATAGGTGCATAGGTTTATGTGTACATCAGTATGTATATATATACATCCGCGTGCCCCGCTGTGATGTATAAGTGAGCACACACACTCCATCAGGCACACAGAAGCGGGCACGGCACCTGGTGCGTTCTAGCAAGGCAGAGAAAAGAAACGAAAGCTTTTCCAAACGAGTTGATTTGTGCCTCCCGCAGAGCTAGCCCATCCCAGAGGGTAAACCAGGGGACAACAGGGCAGTGCCGCACATCCTCATGCAGTCCTGCTGGCTAAATTGTCTCAATTACAGGCCACTGCCAACTCAGCAGGTCCCCTGCCGCATCTTCTGCGGCTTCATCCTCTGCACCCTTCAGGGGGTAAGGAGTGGCGGAGGTGAAGCAGCAGCTGGCGAGGCCCCTGCCAATTAGAAGCAGCAGCAGACAGGCTCCCACCCCTGCCTCCCCCAGAGGCTTCAGGTAGAGTTATCATTTCAGTCCAGCAGTTTTAAATCCCAGTGAGAGGCACGTTCCGAAGAAGAGCTGGCACTTGCCTCTAACTTGCCGTTCCTTGTTAGCGCCCCAGCAGAAGCCCTGGTTGTGTACCCACACTTACACCCCTTCCCCCAACTCCCTGCCCAGGCTTTGTTGTACCTGAGCATTTGCTTTGGGTGGTTGCTGCTGGGGTTTGGAGCATAACTCTGCCCAAAATCTCTCTTGGTGGCTCAACCCCTGCATTTTTGCCAGGGGCCGTCGATAACGGGAAGCCTGGGAAGAGGAGGGAAGTGGTTGGGGTGACAGCCAGCTGGGGCAAGGCTGAGCCACTGCTAATGAGCCAGGGTGGAGGGATAAAGACAGCACCCAGCGGGGCGAGGGGAACAGAGGCAGAGTCCTTGAATGGAAAGCAGCATGATAATGAGGCCGTCGTGCTTTGCTTTAACTGCTTATGCTGTGCAGTCTGCAGCCTGCTGTGCAGGAAGAAGGTAAAGGGGAGTTGAGTTATTTAACCAAACTAAATAACAGGAAAGTCATGTCAGCACAACAGCCTGCTTTCGCAGAACAATAGTCCCCTGTTGCTACATAAACACAGAGATCCAGGCTAGTCGTGTATTTTCCAGGACAGAGACAATCTCCCCTGTGCTCGCTGTGGATTCGAACAGCTCCATTTCCACCATGAGGGCAGGAGATCTGCCAGTGTCACAAGGATGGGCCTGACCTGCTACATCCTCGTGGGCTCCAGTGAGTCAGAAACTAGCTCCTTGCAGCAGGGGTGCTGTATGAAGAGCATTGGCCCCCAAATACCTGAACCTAGGTAGATAGAATCATAGAATCATAGGGGGTTGGAAGGGACCTCTGGAGATCATCTAGTCCAACCCCCCTAGTCCAAAGCGGGTCCAACCTATAGCAGGTTGCACAGGAACTTGTCCAGGCCAGTTTTGAATGTCTCCAGAGAAGGAGACTCCACCACCTCTCTGGGCAGCTTGTTCCAGTGCTCTGTCACCCTCACAGTAAAGAAGTTCCTTCTCACGTTTAGGTGGAACTTCTTATACTCAAGTTTGTGCCCATTTCCTCTTGTTCTGTCACTGGGCACCACTGAAAAAAGACTAGCTCCGTCCTCCTTACACCCTCCCTTTAAGTATTTGTATGCAGAGATTAATAGTGGACTACCAATGTATCCTGCCAAGCTCTATGTCCATCAGCAGTGATCTTAGCACCATCCTTACAAGTAAGCCAGGAGACAACTCATTGCTCCAGGCCTATCAGCTGTTGCATAGTGACATATCTCTACTGCTAAATGTCTACTTACTGATCGGTCTGTAAGTAGGAACTTGTCTCAGTCAGTACGAGGCATCCAGCAAGCTATGAAGGTAATTAAAGGAGACCCAGTGATCAGAGTCAGGCCTGGGGCGGGCTTGTATTCTTGGTTCTGCTCCTGGCTCTACCAACAGTTCAGCATTTGACCTTGGGCAAATTGCTTCCTTGCTCCGTGCATCAACTGCACAATCTCTAAACTGGTATTAACACTACCGGTAGCCACAGACTGAAGTTTCTGACACTGCTTTCCCTCAGTTTCTGTGCAATTCTTTTGAGATCCTTGTGTGGAAGAAGCAAAGCGTGAAGCCAGTAGTGACATGTAACAAAGTTCTGCTGTGACGTATAATGAGGACGCATTGTAAAAACCCTGTAACCAAAACAGCAGGCTTTGCATACAACTAGAGGTTGATGACTCTGCAAAAACTCTGTTCCCATTAGAAGACAAAAGGTCAAAAGAAGCAGAATGCCCTTGAGGACTCACCAGGGTGACTGCTCCCATGCTCTCATCCTCAGGGGACCTGCCACTGGCAAGAAATCCATTGTGGGGAGGGTTGTGGGGAGGCAGCAACAACCCATGGGGGACTTCCATAACTCACCTCTCTGCCAAGACTAGCTTCCAGCCAGAGGAGTAGCTAAGAGGAGCTGTAGTGTGATGACATGAGTGGTCTTGAAAGTCAGAGGGGAGATATGGCCCATCAACTCCAATTACCTTCACTGCAGGTGCTTAATCCCTCTTGCTGTGTGGATATTATTTGTTTAGTTTTTCAAATGACTTCTCTCTGACTCCCAGTCCCAGGGGATGCTGATGTGTATTAGGTGTGTTGCTAGCAAAATGCTCTGTATATGAAACCTACTCTAGTTCATCTAATTTGGTGATGGACAACTCCATCAGGTTTGTATCTGCTGCTTGCTTGGTGTGAAAAGTGGCTTTTCCTTTTCTCCTGCATGTTGCTTATTGTTTTTTTTCCCCCCTTAGAACGAGTTTTACCCACACTCCCCAATCCTTTTCCAGGTCAGTATATGTTTTATGTTGAAGTAGCTCTTTAGCCGGGTCATTCTCCATCATCCTGACAAATGCTCAGAGTTAGATATGGGCAAAACAGCTCAGAAATGCAGGAAAATAAGGGCTTTCCCTTCTCGTCTACATGTCATTTGGTCTCTTCTGCTCACCTTCTTCATCCTTCCCCTTTCCCCCTCCCATTTCAAAAAAACAATCAACTAAACAGCAACAACCTTTAGCCAAGCTTTGAGCCATGACATTGTGTTCTCACCCAGGTTTGGACAGTCTTCAGTGAGGTTCAATTTGCCGACAGACCTACTCCTAATACATATTCTCATCCGAAGCTGTCTTTGCCCACATGTTGTGATTTGGATCAAAAGCATAAGCAGATCTAAAATTTTGCAGAGGGAAAAGGAAGAAACTAAAAATTAAATTGCTACCAGGAGTTTTTTTCTAGTTGTGCGAACGATTCACGGTGAAACCGAAAACTTTGTTTTGTCATTCCTCTGTCACGCACCCCCAAGTCTGTCAGTCACATAGTGCTGCATTTGAGGCAGAGAGCATGAAAAGAGGTGCACAGTGAGGTGTTTCTGCCTGCTTTATTGCGAGGGAAGAAGGTATGAAGGCAAAACAGGCTCTGAGTATTTTTCCTGTCTCTGTGCTGTCCAAGCATGCCTCCAGGTCCAGGCAGGGCAGCCCCAACATCCATGCAAGACTTGGGGTTTGGATGTGATGTTGAGATTCCGAAAAAAACGCGGAGACTGGACACTTCCAGAAAGCAGGCGACAGTGGCTGGAAGCAGCGTTTGAAACTAAATCAACAATAAGGCAGACAGTCCCCATATTCACTTAAAAAAATCTTGTCCTAGGGCACCTTAGTATCTTTGTTTTACCGCACGTGATGAAGATGCACTCAACTCAGGGGATGTTCAGAGGCCTAAATAGTTAATGTCTGTGCAGAGCTTTGGAGTAGAGTGTTATTACAAGCCCATGTTGTTTTGCAAAAGGGCACCTACCCAAGTAAAGCACCTGCAGGTACTCCCATAAAAGAACAATAAATGCTGGGTGTTACACCAGCTCCATTTAACTACTCTACTCTTTCAAATCAAGCTCTGCTCTTGGCAACTTATTCAGGCTCAGGATGTAGTCACAATTGCCTATTTAAAAGGCAAATCCACAAATACAATTAAAGAAAAGTACCTACAAAAAAAGGAGGGGGGAAGGAGGGGAGAAATCAAGCTACCATTAAAATTAAATCCCAGAGAGTGATTTGTAAATAACATTCAAGGAGCTGAGAAAAGGAGTAAAGTAGGCCATTGGGAACCTAGTGTGGAAAAATAAATCCAATTAAACACCATTATCGTATGTATTGCAAATGAAACTTGTGCTTGGATATGAAATTAAAGTTGCTGAGGCTGCTTGGGATGTACATTTTGAGGAGTTTTCCAATTCTGGATGTTCTTTTTTAAGCAGAATTTTCAATGACAAATATTTTTGTCTGATGGAAAACCCAGGGCTTTTTCTTTTTATGATTATTTTTATTATATATCCTTAAATTCCACAGGCAGGCAGTGTTAATTTTTTTCATAGCCAGTTCTGTTTACAACTGGTTTTGAATTAGTAGCCCATTAAGCTAAATGATAAAACAAAAACTGCAAGTGAGCAAGGCCAGGTTTTCCATACCAAATACCCCTCCTAATCAAGCTGCCAAGGCCATCCTGCACAGCTTTAGTCAATCCTTTAAAACACTTCCCCCTCTGTCTTTGAAGTTGTTCCCCAGTCTCCTGAGATCATCTTGAAGGACATCGTGGTGTGACATCACTTCTGTAAGGAGTCTCCACGAATTTGTGGTGCCAAATGCTAGAATATTTCCAGTGACCCAGGATACATAAAGAGGATTTTGCGGAGGGAGAAAATAGAATTTAAATACTCTGGACCTCATTTGTTTTCTGAAAGCCCGTGCCAGCTTCTCCAATGTGGGTGTTCAGCACAGATATTGGCACTTATCTCAAAGTTTGCTTTTACTTTGCTGTTCACCTTCAAAGAAACCTTAGGCATAAAATTTTCTTGTTAGACCTTTTTCCCCCTGTGAGTTGATGTTCTGAGACGAAGTCCTCAGCTCTCAAATAAGCTTCTCCTCAATGACCAGAATCACAGCTTCCTCCTTCTTTCTCCCTCAATTTCCACTTCTCTTAAGCCTCAGTAACACTTCCCTGCCCTGTGGGGTTTTGAGCATTAATTTAAAAGGAAGGTGTTTTGAGATGAAGAGCACTGTAGTCATGCTAAGCATTGCTATCATTAGCTAGCTGCTGGGGAAATGTCTTACTTTCAGGCAGGCTAGAGACTCAGAAGCAGCCCATTCAACTAAACACATGGGACTTAAGTTTGATGAGACAGTTTCCTAAAAGGCTGGTGGAGCCCAGCTGATTCAGCTCTCAACTGAATTGTCCTCGGTAAATTTTCCAGCCCTCCTAATTTTGCAGCCAGGTACTCAAAATGCCCTGAAGTATCTTCTCGGATGATGCTACGTCACCACATCTTACTGTCTGCATTGTAACATCATGTTATAATGGGATGACACCAGACCTGGCTGTCACAAAGGTAGCCTTACTGCATCATCAGGTGGCTTTTCAAAAGGGTTTTCTTCTGGAAAAGGAGAATTTGCTGATTCCACACCACACCTATGAGCAACAGGGCAAGTGGGATCACTGTTAAACCTCAAAGGGATCTGTCACAAGTATGGCACTTGCTCCACCTCTGTCCTCTGTTGTCTCTTGTCTTCAGCCCTTTGAACATAGACTCCATCCCTCATGATTAGCATCTAGTGTCCACATAGAATGGCTTACTCAGACTGTGGGCTTCAAAACCCATGAGTCTTCTTCACAGGAGTTTTGTGATGAGGGCTTGCCACAGACTAACCAGGGGCTTTCTCAGTGTGGTTAGCTTGAATGTCCTGGGAGCTCTGCAAGGGGAATGCTGTGTTTCCCAGAAAGCAGCACATCCAGAACTGGCCATGGGGCATCAAGTGTGCCAGTATTTGGGGCCTCATCAGACAAAGTCATGGCTATCAACAGAGTGACAAAACATTTATAGCAATAGTGTGTTCGTAATTAGCGGAGGGGGAGGGAAGTGGAGAATGAGCAGTTTTGTCTTTCTGCCAAAATGCGCACTGATGGGAGAATGACCCTGTATGACTGTAGATCGTAGCTAGTCTGCGTTTAGCTGTAGCCTGTGTAGCTTGTTCTGTCACTAATGCCTTCATCGGGTGGGTGGGAGCTGGGGGAAGGGAGACAAGAGATGTTCATTTGGGTCTGATGACCAGAGTGCAAAACAGAGCATCTTTCTTTCTAATACCCTCTCAGACCTTTTCCCTCCCCGTGGAGGTCCTAGCTGTGGAGAAGAGAGTTCATTTGTTGCAGTGGTCACCTCCACCCATCCTTGCTTCCCCTTTTCATTTTCTGTAGTGCATGGCAGCCCTGTCAGTCCTGCTGAGAAGGCAGTTCTTGTGTCAGCAGGGTCTACTTTGGCAAAAGGATGAACATCTGAATATTTAGAAGATAAGGAGAGAAGCATGGGGGAAAATATCCAAGACTACAGATTGTAAAGGGTTAACACATTATGTGCATTATGTGGATCTGCTGACTAGGCAGTGGTGTGAGAGTAGTCCACAGAAACCAGCCCGCCCAGCACCATGTGGCCAACTAAAAAACTGGTCTGTCTCTGGAGTCCTCTTCACTGAGGCCAGAGAGTGCTTTCTCCGTTGGGCTGCAAGAAAGGGTCAGTGAAAACCCAAGCCTTCACAGCCATTGATACAAACTAGTTGGCAGAATTGGGGAAAATGTAGCACAAACAGGTCAAAATAGCCAATCTCATCCTATTGTGATCCTGACGTAGAAACTACCACCAGAAAGAAATAATGGCCATAGGGACTGAGCATTGGAGGGCCATGTGAAAATCTGGTATTTCCCTATATTCTCAGGCGTTCAGGGGCCATAGTTCAGCTGTACTCCTCACTGTGCTGTGACATGTGCCTGACTGCTTGGAGTATGCCTCTCTCTTCCCTGAAAGCAGGCTGAGCCCTGGGCATCAGCACCTAGTAACGCCCATGACTCTGGGTGGGAAGCACAACTTACCTCTCTCCTTGCTTCCTGCTGGCGATTCCCAGCTAGATTTTCCAAAGAGTTCATTCTCCATTTGGTGAGTGCGGAAGAGGGTGGCATTGCAGGGTGGATGCTCAACCAGGCCAAGCTCCTCTTGCTGCTTGGGGCCAATGTCCGTCCCTGCCATGTCTGCAGGCACTGAAGGCTGGGATCCCGTTGGGTGCCAAGCCTGCAGGGGCTTCAGGCCAAGGGAACAGGAAAGACAGGACAGGGTGAAGGTAGAAAGCAACATCATATTAATTGTCTTTTGCTATTTCAGAGGCACCAGGCAAGGGATGGCATTGTATCTTACTTTGAGCATGTGGTTAAAAGCAGATAAAATCAAAGTCAGAGGTGATGATAGTGCCTTCCAAAAGGGGTAGTAGGGATGTAGCTGGAAACAGCATCTTAGGGAAAAAAAAGAAATGTCAAGAATTATTTCCACTGCAGCTACTAGCATCGCTTGATGGGTTTTTCTGGATAGCAACAGAGATTTTCTGTTTGCTGAGGTTGTTTAAAAAAAACCAAACAACTGTTCTGGTTCTTCCCCCCAAAAAAAGCTTTCTTAAAGAAAAAAGAGAGACACAGGGGGAAAGAGAGAGAAATGGCTTTATTGCTTGATCTGTTTCTGTACTTTTTGTTCATTAATTTTAATTTAGATTGATTTATTCCAAAATGAGCCCTGGGTTGCACATATTTGCATAACCCTCTCCAGCAGCAATGCTGTGGAGAATCCAACAAGTGAAGAAGAGCAGCAGCAGAGGGTAGGAACTGAGACTGGAAGTCCCAGAAAGATATTCCTCTGAGCCGAGCTCTTGCACTGGGATAGAGAAGGCATTTCAAGGTCTGCTTAGTCACACGTGTGGCTTTGCCC